CTTTTCCCTGGGAAAAAATGGGAAGGTAGGAGCTTATGAAGCGGTTCTGCTGGCAGATAGGGTGAGCTGGCATTGTCTGGCGCCTCCGAACCCATGGTGTCAGCTCCTCAGCTTCCCTTTGGTGACTGTGGCATTGTGTGTCTATGGGTGTGGTCAGTGCAGCTTCTCACTGCCTCCTCCAGCCACCTGCTGCACTCAGCCAGTGTTGGTGCTGCTGTCACAGGTTGCTGTTCCAAAGGGGAAGAGGGCAGAGAAGCAGAACTGTCAGGCATCAAAGAAGAGTGGCCCGGTTGCTACTCGCAGATGTGCCTGAAGCAGCCTCTTCAGGAGCCCAGAGAGAGACAAAAAAGGCTTCTGCCTTGCACCATCCCAGCTTCCCAACAAGACTAAAAGAGAAAGGCAATAGAGCTTCTGGCTAAGTACTCCCAACCTTAAGAAGACCCTGGCACCCTCTGACTTCTTGTCTTGGGATAATTTATGATAGTCTAGTCCCTGGCCCTCTGCTTTATGCCCAAAAATCGTTGCTGTATCTTTGAGATGCGTCCTGGGGGAGAGGTGAGCCTTGAATTTGTTGGTGGGGTTTTTCAAAGCCTCACTCACCAGGTGTCTGGGTGGGGGTGTGGTGCAGTCTGGGTTTATTTTTTGGGTTTTTTTGTTGCTTGGCTAGCTTGGTTTTTGTTAATGCAGGCAGGAGTTTTTCTTTCCTCTTGACCTTCTTGACTTCAGAGAAGCTGCAGCAGCAATCCTTTGGCAACTTTTCGAGGTGTGAGAAATAGCTACTCACTTTTCATAAATTTAGAAAGGTTTATTAAACCTTATCAAAAATACAACAGAGGACTGAATAGAGAAAATATTATGGCACCGGGAGCAAAAGGATTTTTCCCGCCATGTGCTTGCCCTCACAATGGAGGTTTCTCCTTTGCCCCTCTCAAATGTCTGTCCATTGACTCCTTCTTCATTGTCCAGTGATGGAGTTTACTTCCTCGAATCCTGATTGGAGGGCAGATGTCACCATACTGACAAGCTGACCCTCCCAAATGTCCCAACCCTAGCAATCCCTTGATAACAACACAAGGGAGTAAAACATAACTATAAATCTGTAACATTTTCTTAACCTATATACATTGTAAAAAATGCATATTATATGATTGGCTCTTTGCAAATATTAAAATGAATACTATATGTGTTATGTTGGAAAGTTATGTTGTAGTAATCTCTTTTAAGTAATGTGGTAAATGTAGTTTTTATGGTATAGCATAATATTAAAATAGAAATTATGTGATGCAAGATACTTTTTTGTAACTGACCCAAGAAATGGAAAAGGTAACCAAGAAATTCTTCTCATTATCCTTTCTGGATGGAGATATAACAGGATTCCAAGAAAAGAATTATTACCTCCTTATCAGGAAGGCTCAGTGACTGATTTACAAAATGAAGGGGGAAAGTTGACAATAAACAGAAAAATCCTTAGTTTGAAAGGAATGTTTGCATCATGTATGAGATACCTGAATATGCAACAGGCTATTGCTTTTAAGGGTTAATCCTTTGTTAGCAAGTTATGCTTTTTGGGGACTTAATGCCCAGGAAGCATCCAGATGTCTGTGATTCTTTGCTTTTATTGTCCTAAATCTGATTGTCCAAATTCTTTCTGCTCTAATTTTTATTACTATTTTTATAACTATTTTATTACTATTAAACTTTTAAAATTTTAAAACAAGTGATTGGTGTTGTTCATTAACAGGATATTTGTCTGTTAATTGTGAGAGTCAATCATTGCATTACTTATCTATGACACAGGTAAACTGGACAGTTTGTTTAGTCTGAGACCAGAGAAAATGGGACCCATGACAGAGGGGCCTGCTCTGGTTTTGGCCCCAGACCTTGGGAAAGCCAAGCTGAGGAGAGAACGCAAACTGAGAGGCTCTAGCCCACCTGCTTCATCTGCTGTGGAGAGGAGATTAGTGCTAGTGAGTCACTAAATTTTCATCTGTTTGCCTGAACTACAGTATGAAGCTCCTCTTTGGTTTCTTTTCTTGAGAGAGAAGCTGGCACCATCTTCTACCATGTGGCATGAGCCAGTATTTTTTCCTTGGTGTTTTGGGTTTTTGTTTGTATGATAAATATATTACAGTGCTGGCTTTCACAATTGTTAGAGTGAATACTATGTGTTTCATAATGTTGACCTTTGTAAAAAAGCTTAGAGATCTTTCAGTCTGAATGTTGTGTTGTGATGCTAATGTTGATTGGGAGTTGTTGTAATGTTAACATCTAACTAATGAAAAAATCCAGGCCTGGTGAATGTATCGAAAAGTAGCAGATGACCACAAGGAGGATAACTGCACATGCTTTGAAGGGTAGGGACAGATGAGGAACTATGTTAAAATTATTGAATATGTATGATTATTTATGATTATGTATTTGGCTGATGCAATACCCACAGTATAAAAGGGGTGTTGCTGTGTTGACTGGTGTGCCTCTGGCTGCAGCTAAGCACCCAGCGCTGTTCCTTTTTTGTCCCCTATTGTCTCTTATTAAATTTCCTTTAAATTTTAACTGAGGAGTGGGCTTCATTTCTCACAGTTCAGGTGGGTGGGGAGGGCAAGGTCTGAAAGTTTAATATCTAGCATTTAATTTACTATTTTTACTGTGCCTTGTGGACATTCTGTTTGTTAATAAACTGTTCAGTTTTTGTTTTCTCACATTCATCCACTCATGTGGATCCATTAATTTCCTATTTGTCAAGAAAATTAATCCACAATGTCAGCAATTTATGTCCAAAAAGGAGACAGAGGAATCCTGTAACTTTATTTGAAGAAATGGAGAGGCCATGGTGCATATCCTATGTGGTCTCTCAAATTGTCAGAGAATGCAGCCTCCTTTTTATCCTAATTTCCAGGCTGCATTTCCCTCTCTTTTTCCCAACTGAAAGTACATGAGAGGTACAGACTTTCTGAATCGCATAAGAGAGATGCCCTTCTAATGTGCATTCCCCCATACCCCTTCCTTCCTTTTCTTTGTGTCTCTATTCCTTAAGTCCAGGAATTTAGCACAGCTTTGGGTGAGCAAAGGTCTATGTAAATTAGTGGAATTCATATGGAAGGTATGGTTCCTACCATTGCTTCTTTCACCTATCAATATTTGACTTTATCTACCAGCAGGCCTACAGTTTGTAAAGCCACCTCCCTCACATTCCTTTCATATTGGTGGAAAGGGATTCTTGGAACCCTTTTGGAGGAGACAACTCATTCCAGAGTGTTTTCTCCCAAATTTGTCTCTAAACTGAGATACCTCTGCAGTTCCATTTCTGGACATCATCTCTTAAAGAGACAGTAAAAATTTTAGGCAGATGACATAGCACAGCTAGAGATAGAAAACAATAACATTCTGGGTTATGCAGGACACTGGCCAACCTGCTCAACTGTTCTAAGATTGAAGAATCTTTTATCCTCTCCAGTCAGAATTTCTGTTGTTTCTGTTTCAGTCTGTTGCTTCTTGTTGTGTCACTGTTGGGGCGGTCACGACACAACGAAGAGACCAGAACAGAACAAGGGTTCCAAACCCTGCATTGTCTTGGTCAGCACAAACCCAAATCACACCCTCTAACTACTATGAACAAACAATGATTTTTCTTGAATACCATACAATACTGCTTGATCCAAATGCTTGACCAAATTGACAACATAGATAGAGTCAGCAACCATATTTACAGAATCAGAAAATGCCGTGCTGCTGTCCGAGTTTCTCTACTCCCCCGGGAAGGGGAGGAGGTCGCGCCGGCTGAGCTGAAGGCACAGCAGCCAACAGCCGGGGGGGGCACTCCCTAGATGCGCCGGGGCGTCCTGGGAGCGCCTCAGCAAGGGGCAGCAGGGAGCAGCAGGCAGGCGAAGTAGAAGAAAGAAAGGAGGGACCCTCCTCACACTATCACTGATTCCCACACCCTTGAAGAAACCCAAAGTCTGCAGTCCTCTGTGGACTGGCGAAGCACAAGTGTTGGAATCTCTGTACAGTCCACATCTCTGCATCTTCCTCTGTGCTTGTCGAGTGCTCCGTGTTCTCTTGCACTTGATGGAACTTCACATTCTCCACTGAAATCCGCCTGAACTCTGTACCTGCTAAAACACAAACAAATCCACGTCCCCACAGGGACTGAAGAACCCTCTCAAGATTCCAGAGGTGAAGAATGGGTCTTGATGCATTGAAATGGGTCTTGATGCATGAAAATGAAACCTTGATCTGTTCTGCTTTACAAAATTGTATAGAAACATATAATATAACAGTAAATAGAAATCAACCGAATTATACAATCAATCAATAAGACATGTGAAATCACACAATTATCAAGCACTAAACTGTCATCCCAGGGTCTGCAACAGCTGACAAGCCTTAAAACAACAGAGAATGGAAGAAATCATGTCCGGATTCATGTTTCTCCAAGCTCCCTTTGAAAATTGGCTCAGCTGTCATATATGGTCAAATTGCCAAGTCAAAAGGACTCGAATACTTTTTTTGCTGCAGAAGAATATCTGGCTTGGTTGTCAATCACTCCATCCAAGTAGAGCTGGAGCTTGGCCAGAGCTCGAAGTCTAGTTGGTGGGTATCACTCAACATACTTTCCAAAACAAAATTCTTAAAAACAACTATGAATAAGAAACCTTAGGGTTAAAAATCATTCACACCATGAAATCATTGAATTCTTCTGAAGTCTTTGTCAGGATGAAAATTCTTCAAACACTACAAACCTCTTCTTCAGATATCTGAATTTGGTCACAATCAGGATGGCGTGCCTAAATCTGGACACAGAGTGATTAATTTCTACATGCCACACTAGCTTCACCAACCACTGCCCCCTCCACTCCTTCCCAGTGGGTCATGGTTGCCAATCGCTGGGATCCCGATAAGGGCTCGACCGAGTATCTCAATAAGGATATCTTATCACGTCAGGGCTCACCAGATGTCGCTGTTGGGGCGGTCACGACACAACGAAGAGACCAGAAGCGGTCTCATTTGGCAACTCTTTAATACGAAATATGTCCGACTTTTTATACACTCTGTGATAGTTTATACTTCTTCTACCTTAACTATTGGCCACAATAAATCAACATAACACCATTGGTGAAAAGTTACAGTGACTTAACTAACTTACTAAAAATACTCCATCCAGCTGCGAAGTTCTCGTCTTTCTTCTGTTCCTCACTTCTCTTGGTCTCCTTGGTTACAGCCTTGAAGACAGCTCCTTATCAGCTACTTCTTTGCTTCTTGCTCCTTCAGCTAACAGGCCCACTGTTAGCTCCTTCCACATTGTTGAGCATCTCAGAGAATTGGTTGGCTCACTCTTCTCTATAAAACAATGTAGATAATTGAAGACAGCAATCAGATTTTGTCTTCTCTTGGTTGGATAAACCCAGGTAGATCAGCCTCTCCCTGTATATAAGCCCCCTAGTGGACTATTCCTCCTGCTTGTCAAGGTCAATGTGAATCACAGGCCTGCCTTTGAATGTCATGTGCTCTGTGCAGTTTTGTGTCATATGCCAACTTGCTCAGGGTCCTAGGGCCCTTCTGTCCCCTTTTCCAGGCCATTGGTGATGATATGAAACAGTGTCAGCCTCAGTGTTGACCCTTAGAAACCCTGTTTAACTGGGCTGACAGCTCTATGATCACTTGCAGTTAGTCATAATTAAGTTATTTACCTTTGGCTATCTGGTATAACCAAACATTCTCTTATTTTACTTCTCTCTCTCTCTCTCTCTCTCCCCCTCTTTTTACAGATATGTACACACACATTCTGCAGAATTATTTCTGTTACACAAATTGACAGTAAAGCAGTAAAGGAATTTGACAAAGAATATTCTAATTTTTGCTTTTCTGTTCAATTTTCACCTGCTCTTTTGGATTTTTGCTCAAGTATAAGACAAATAGACACACCAACTGAACTCATCCACTGGGTTATCACTGCATAGTATTCAGAGGGCTGAAAATGAATATGTAGTTTTTTCAGGTGAGTGTACTACAGGACACAAAAGCTTCTGCTTCCTGTAGTCTCATGGGCATTGTGTAGGAATCTGGGAGATTCAACACCTAGTTCAGAGTGCCAATGATATATTTTTATCTCCCTTCTCAAACTTTCTCCTTATTTACCATATTTTATGAATGTTCTGTGCATATTTCTTCAGTACTGCAATACCTTTTTTTTAGATCTTATTTTCTTTTTCTCTGATTTGTCAGATACTGGAAAACAGCTCTGTTGCCACTCATGATTGCTAATTTAGAGGTACACTTTCTTTTGATTATGAAAATAACTCTGAGAGGGGCTTTGGTTCTTCATTCTGTTACCATGACATCAAAGATTTTCTATGTGTAATTTCTGAAGCATCATTCTTAGTGCCTCTTCTCAGTATTGGAAGGACATCCAATGGTAAATTATCTGGCATGGTCCTTCTGTACAGTTTTACTGTATGCAGTTAATTATTTTACATGGTTTACATTATAAGGGAAGGAGAGTACTGGTTACAATGATCTATTTAAAATCTCTCGTGATTAAACTTTAAGATCTTTCTTGGATAAAAGTTCACTTTTATTGCAGTAAATTCTGTGACAAAACATTGGTAGAATCCTCTTGTATTCTTTTCCTTGAAATTACAGAAAGTAGGAAGAGTTGACTAGAAAGCACAGGGATGTCACTACTCTTTGCTAGATCCACCACATGTCAGCTGTACATGTTACAGATGCAATGGAACAAGTGCCTTGTGTGTTGGTTAGAAGTATAATTCTGAAAAATATATACATGGTTGTCACCGCAGGCCCCCAGCCGGGTAATAATCAGCATTGACTTAATGATTGCAGAAGGCTGATCAATTGCTTTATTCTATTCTATATTATACTATACGTATTAAGAAGTTCGTAACCCTTACAAACAGTCTGATACAGCTTTGACCTAATTGGTCAATCAATTCAAACACCATCCAGTGTCCAATTAAGAAATCACCCTTCGGTAAACAAATCTCCGTAAAACATTCCACATGTGCCCAACAACAGGTGCAGCAAGTGGAGATAAGAATTATTTCTCATTCCTTTCTCTGATCTTCTCACAGCCTTCCCCAGGAAAATGCCTGGGAAAGTCTGTGCCTGCTCTCTGTGGCCAGAGAGCTGCTGCCACACATGGTAAGCCAAATATGTTGGATTTCACATGGACATTGGAAAGGTTTTTTGTTCATAGTGGGGATCTCAGCAGCACATACTACTACTCATCCAGATTTTCCAGGCAGAACTATGGATGTTCAGAAACTTTGAGGCAAGATATAGTTTACAGCTAAATTCTTCACCAAAAATAGGTTGGCTGCTCCAAGCAAATCAGAAGTTGTGACAGACTGAAATGTTATGGTTAATGGCTTAAACATTGTTATGAAAGATTTTTTGCCCATTAAGGCAAAACTATAAAGGAGTTACCACCACCTAAGTCCACCCCTCCCTGAATATTCTTCTTGACTGAAAGTTTGGACTGTGAGTTAAGCCACATAAAGGGAACTTGAAATAACATAAAGGTGACACTAATATCCAATAATCTGAGGTCTAGAAGGAAGTAACAAGGCTGAGGGAGAAGAATGTATCTACAAAGGAAGCCAAACACAGCATATGTCCTGAAAATCAGCTGTGACTGGGTTTGGAGTGGAGAGGCCATAGCCCACAAACTAATTTCCTGAGACCAGGTCTGCATACACTCTACCCCAAACAAGGGGGAAAGGAGGAGAGTTTTGTGTGTGTGGCATAGTCTCTAGTCAGAGAAAGTTAACACCCATCCTCCCTTATACTAACTGACTCAGTTGTAAACTCCCTCACACCCTGGGAAGGTCTCATCCACAAAGGACATTCATATGAGAAGCAGCTGAGGAGGTTTCATAAACCATTAGACCCCGAAAGAGTCCCTCAAACTCATTCCTGAGGCTTTGCACCAGAGGACTGCCCGCTATGCAAACTGATGCAACAGATGCAGAGTCTGTTGCAAGAGACAATGTCAAACTTGCCCCCTGCTCCCAGAGGAGGTAGCTTGGCATACCCATCTGGCCCAAAGGTATATTAATCCATTGAACTCTGTTTTGCAGGACTCTCACCACCAAGAAGACCAGAAGAAGAGGATCAATGGGGACACCATTGGTATCCAGGGGGTGGTGATATTTTCTACTTAATCTGTCATCTCTGTCACTCTCTTTCTCTCCCCCACTATTCTCCTATTTCTTTCTCTCTCTCACACACTCTCCCCTCTCCCCCCCCCCACTCTCATATTCACTGTTAAATAAAATGGATACTACTGACTTCAGCATATGGTCTCATCTGCACCTTAATTCAAGCAGAGGCATGTCTCTAATAATTTTAACAACTGGATCATAACAGAAGTCAGCTGCCAGGAGTCCTTTCGCATGAAGGCCTTTGGTCCTGTTTGCCACCATGTCTTCCTAATACGCCATGTACATCTCCTTTTCCTTACCTCCCTATGGATGCCACACTAAAATGATACTTTATACCTCCAGACTGGTTGATTTGTTATGTAGAGTTGGTGGTTGGAGACACAGACAACACATACCCTAGGTCTTCATGCGACAACAGCATGTTTTATTATCTGCACTCTCCTTAAATAGCAGGTTTTGAATCTCTTTGTCTAGATAGCTCATTGCTCTGACTTTAACACCACCTAGCTCCCCAACCAGTGAGATGTCTGCAGCTTAGGGTGGAACATGATTGGGTGAAGTCCCTGTGTGTATTCAAATCTATCTTATCATCACTCAGCTAGGGACTTGTTCATGGAACCAAGCTGGGTTTCTTATTTATAGCCAAATTAATCGCCCAGTACAAGCCAGCTTGTACTGTAGCATCTCCTCCTTTCTTTCTTTGTTGAAAATTGCAACCTGCTCTCTGTTGCCTATCTGCAAGGGCCCTTTGCTAACAGGGTGACAGAAGACAGCATGGGTTTAATTTGCATGAGGCCATGTATCACTGGAGCTGCAGCATTCATGTCTAGGAGCTGTTAGGCGAGAATTACTAATCTTACAGTCTTTCAGGCTACACATGTCACAGGCTATTTTTCTTAGAAGTTACAAAGTTACAACTTAACACTAAAAGCAAGAGACCATTTAACTATTAGAACACTTAGAAAGAACCCAACTACTAGAAAAACAATTTGTAAACAGTTACATCTTAACACCAAACTGAAATTACAACTTTGAAACATTCAACTTTAGAACTGTGAGAAGAACCAACCTTACAGACGAAACAATTTGTAAACAGGAAAAACAATTTGTTGTTCCATTTGTTGTTCCTTTTGTTGTGAATTGATTGAAAGATATGAGAAAAATATGAGAACATGAGAACACTCGAGAACTTTGAGAGGGTTGTACATCCACTCTTCTTCAAAGTCCCAGAATCTGACAGTGGAGCTCCCAGCTTCTCTGCTGTTTTGTGTGAGTGTCTCTTGCACTATGTGCTCTTTGCCATTTTGAGTGATCAGCACTGGCATTCTAGTCACTGCTTTTGCATTTTTCTTGGCTTCTAACTGCCCCAGACAGTTTGAAATGGGTCTCCATGATTTTATAATGCCTATAACGGCTTTTAAAGCTTGTTCCATAAGCTTCCACAGTTTTATAATGTTAAAAAGAAAAGTTCATACTTGGAAAGGAGCCCATGCTCCTATGTTCCTGGCAGTAATTCCAATCTACAAAGGGGGATTTGAAACCACGCGGCATACTCTGCTGTTTATCGCTGGGATTTCACAGCAATTTTCCTCTGCCTGCAGCAATTCCACCACTTTCTGCTGTCCCGCCAGCTGTTCACAGCAATTTTTTTCTATGGCAATATTGCACTACTATCCACCATCCCACTGGCTGTTCGCAGCAATTCTGCTGCCTGCGACAATATTCTGCTACTGTTCTTGTCTTCCTGCAATACCACAGTTGTTTAAAATGGCTGAGTCCATTCCTCATATGGGTACAGAATTTCAACATCAGAAAATTCATGTCTGCGACTCTCATCAGGGCCACTGTCTTTTTACTGATACTCAGATTTCTCAAACCAAACTTGTCATTCTGTTACTCGTAACATGCTGTTAATACCCTACCATCACGGTTTTCCACTTCAAACATTTTTGGTAGTTTAAGTGCAGTTTAACTTATTTTATTTTTATATTTTACTCTCTGTCACTGTTTCCTGGACAGGACTCTAAATGATCTTTAATTCTATGTCACCTCTCAAAGTCCTTTCCCCATTCCTTTGTCCTCTGAGAAGGAGGACCCATGTTTGTGTATAATACTTATCAATTTATACACTGTCTTGGTGTTATCTCTACTTATTCTTTACTCCTTTCTTAGAAAAGTTTAATAATTTGATTTTCTTTTTTTTCACACTACTGAGCATAGATAAGACATTTTCATACAACTACCTGTCTTGTAACAGTTCAGGGCTCTTCCTTTTAAGTGTGAAGGTGGGATGGCTTCTTCCCACATGCCCTTCCAATGAGCCTCCCTAAATTCCATCTTTTTGCCTACATACTCAGTACTCAAAGATTCTTCTGCTTGCAGTTCTTCTCAGCCTGCCATTGCCTACATTTCCCTAAGTAACACTGCACTGTCAGCAGACTCTGACAGTGCCATTTCCAGAACCTTGAGAAATATGTTGCACCGATCAAGTTCCAAAACACTTCCTTGTGTTTTGGACTTTGTGTTGTGACTCTATTGATGACTTCCTTTTGCTGTGAAAAAGGACTATTGACTGCCTTATTTGCTATCTTTCAGTCAGTTATTTACATCTGGAATTATTTATTTCTTGGCAGTGTAACTTTTAAGAGATTTTGATGACTGACCTCTCCAAATTCCCTCCAGAAATCCATAGTCAGTATTCCAGGATCTATCTCCCTTAGCCATGAGGGACTAATAAGTATTTCAGTAGGACTGTGAGATTGTGAGGCAGCTCTTCCCTTTACAAAAGCCCTTATGACTCATCCCTATTACAACATCTTTATGCATATGCTCGCCAATTCTAATCTATTTTACAGTTTCCACTAAATTGCCTGCTATGGACATCAGGATTGTACTTTTCTAGTTTTCTTATGGTATTCTTTTAAAATCATCTTTCAAGAGTCAGCTGTTGCAGATACAACCCTTCCTTCTGCTACTAAATCAGTTTTGTACTAGAGATTTTTCAGGACAGTTTGTAGTTCACTCTTGAATTCTTTTAGAATTGCTGGTTATATACTGCCTGGTCCTTGTGATTTATTAATTTTGCTTATATATTCCATAACCTATATGTTCCATATGGAATCTTTCAAGACACAACCCCTACTGAGTCCCCTCATAAAAAAGAAGAGCTGGCTTGGGTATCTCATCCATCTCTGCTGTAGTGAACACAGATGTAACAAATTAATTTAGATTTTCTGTTATTTTGTTTGTATGCTCTTTTACATTTCTTTCAATTTTCCTGGTACTGCAGTCTGTCGGGCAGACAGCCAGGGCCTGAAGTGTGTGTTTGAAAGGGGATTTATTATTAGATTTTATTCCTTATGCAAGCTATTCCTCAAATTATTTTAGACTGCCTCATGGTATGGTTTACTTTTTATCTGTCACAAGTTTGGATTCTATTTTCAATTTTATACGCAAACCTAGCTTTTGGAAGGATGCTTCTAAAAAGCTGTCCCCAGCAACAAGCATTTTTTTAAATGAAAGCACTTATTGGTGGATGATTTTTTTCTTTTTTTTTTTCCTTTTTTTTTTTTTTTTTTTCTTGTTTATAAGGGCTTTATGTAAGGAAGGAAAGAACAAAAGAGAGAGAGCATCACAGTGTGCTGCAATTGACTGTGCCTGCAGCACCTTGTAACTCCTCCCGTGCCTTCTGGAGGTGGACACAGCACTGTATTAAACTACTGCTTCTGCCTGCAGGGATTGTAACCCCAATGGCATTTGAAATACCTAGGAACAGCTTATTTAAAAATCAGGAACTCCAGGAAATACTTCACACAAAAGGGTACAGTGTGTATGCAGGAGACTCATGCTGAAAATCTAGACTTGTAGTATATTGGCTGTAGTCCATTTCATCTTCCTCACCAGAATCTCCACATCATGACAACCTTGCTGTCTTCATGTCAAGGCATGTCTTGAGCAGTCACTGACCCCACCATGGGCTGGTTTTGAGAAATGACTATAGGTTGAAGACTAAATGATTAAATGAAAATAGGTTTTTAGAAATGACTACACCATGATGACTGTTTGGAAGTGAATGTGTTTCTGTTAAGAGATTTGTCCTCCTTGGCATGCATGCTGACACAGACCTAGGCTAGGGCTTCCCTTCCTTCTGCTTCCCTGCCTCATCTCCCCCTCTCCCTTGAAAGGCAAGGCTGTTTACTGTCATCTCTGCTGCATATAGGAGAGATGACTGTAAGAGCCCCAAGTACATTTCTCCCATGTCTCTACCCCAGCATCCTGGGTGTTTGGATGAGCTCACACCAACTTCAGAGAGCCTACCCTTTGTTATTTCCCTCTCTGCTTTAAAACACCTGCTCTATTTCTGCCTACACTATGTTGCAGGTATGCTTGTACCTAACCCCACTGACTTTTACCCACTGTCTTGACTTGTGTCTTAAGCTGCCCTGTCAATACAGGCTTGCATGGCAACCTGGCTTGTTGCCTGGAGTGTTGATGAACCTACTTTGCTCTTCTTGCTCAGGTATTGAATTTGCTGACTCTTAGCTCCCAGCTCTATCTTCTACATGGGGCAGTCTGTCCCTGCTACATTCTGACAGTCATACTGTTCAGATGGAAAGAAGCAGCCACTGAGCAAAGAAATGAGTGAAAAATGGCAAAAGGATTGGAAGATAAATATTCAAGCATGACAAAGTAGGAACAAAATACATGTTTTAAGAGAGGGTGTATGATACAGTGGGGAGAACCACTATCCCCGAAGAGAAGAAATTATGAGGAAAAGATAGAAAGGCTACTTTGGCTAAACTAAAGAAGAAAATAAAAACAGATGCCTGTAGAGAAATGCTGGGCAGTTAAGTTAGGCTATCAGGAATGGCTGGAATTGGAATTAAATGCAAATTTAAGACAAGAAAGGGGAAAAAAACCCAGAACTGTTTAGATAAGAAGGGAAAATGGGGAACAAAGGAAAACCTGTACAGACCATTAGCAGTTGTGCAGCAGAACATACAGGAAAATTTCATTAGTGCTTTCCAGGCAATGACTGGTTTCTTGGTGATAACAAAAAAAAAAAAAGTGTGCATACTGAAATGTTGTGGTATTCATGAAAAGCAGTGTTGAAATTTTGTAGTAGTTCTATGTGAATATTATGGTCAGATATTTACAGTAGTGACAGAGAAGTCTATAGGGACTAATGCAAGCTTCTTGACAGCAGCAGGAAAGCCACACACCATCTCTGAAAGGATGTTACTGACACATACCTTTCTTTGCAGCCTTGGATGACCACCATGTTTACATTCAGCAAAGCACTTAATAAACATTCAAAATACATGACAATCATGTAGCATCTTCATAAGGCCATTGCCATACTGGTTTGCAAGCTTCCTTTGCAGCAATGGCATGAGTCTGGGGGGCATTTCAGTGGCTAGTGTTTCTGCAATAACCCACAAATTCTTTAAGGTCTTTGAAGCCATGAACTTTGCCCACAATGAACAGTAGCACTATGCAGCTACTGGAACTTTGAACGGAGAATTTCACTAGGAGGGTGGGGTGTGAAGGTTAAAATGCCAACAGGCTGTGTGTAGCAGTGCTCCCAAGGTGTCGTTCTTTGCAGTTGCTGAACTATGAGCATTCTCTGCAGTCTCTGTAAAAATCAGCAGTTCTGTAAGGCCTCTGAGCTGTTCAGTAGATGTACGGTAACCATGGCACTGCAGACCTCTGCAGGAAGGTGTGAATCATAAAATGGTTAAACACTGGTGCTGAAACCCGCAGTATGACGAATGATGCAGTTCTATGGAGTGTTTGTAGCTGGAACATAAGATTTGTCTGCACCAGCTGCAGTATGGGAATCCTTGTGTGGACTTTTTTTATGCCTCTGCTACCTCCTTCAAGATAGTCTGATAACAGATCCCTGCTTTCTATCCTGTGCCTAGAGAACGCACCTCTTTTACACAAGGAGACAGAGGGCCTAGCTGTCCTATACCCACCCTCCTGCTCTTGGCCCGCTCAGCCGGGCTCTGAAATGCTGGAGACAAGCCGACTGCCAACCAAAAGGTCCATTAATTGCCAGAGCTAGTGTTTCTTTCTCGCTGTTTTTCTTCCTTTCTTCCTCCTTCGCAGTATCAAACAAGGTTTCCGATTTCCTGCTCTTTCCGGGTACGGGAAAAGCAGCATTCCAGCAGACAACGCCGCACAAGCAAACACTAGGCTTGTGCTCGGCCCGCCCCCGGCTCCGCCCCTCCCACCTCGCCCTTGGTTCTGCTCTCTGTCTCGCCACTGCGGTGCAGGCTGCGTGCGGAGAGATGATAAGGCTCAATTGGTGGCGCATGCGTGAGCTGTGCGCGTGCGCGGCAGCTGAGACGCCGGATCGCGGAGTGGGGCTGGTGCTGGCATGGCGGAGGCACGGCCCGGCTCAGGTGAGCGAGGCTGCTGCTCTGGGGCAGCGGGACTGAGAAGAGGGACTGTAGGACTGGGTGGGCGCAGTGAAAGGGAGGAGCAGTCATCACTCCCCAGAGATACTAGCAGGTAGAAAGTCGCGCCGAAGCGGTCGCCACCGAACTCTGGCTTGTCGAAGGGTGCGGGCTGCGGCACCACCTGTTGTGGCTGGCCCGCTCCTGCCCGGCGCGACTTAGCGGTGCCTGTCGCGCCCAAAATGGCGGGGCTCGCCTGTGCCGCAGGGCCCGGTAGGAAGAACTTTCCCGAGGAGGAACGTGCTTGATCCTAGTATGGGACAAACGAATGTAACGTCTGTGGTAACGCCAGAGAAAATACATAAAGAAGAGCTTGGTTACTGGAAAACCTGTGTGCTGTCTGCCCACCCACATCCTTGAAACCCAGGTATCAGGCTGCCCGCACTGAGCAGTGACAATGACAACGTCTCAGGTCCACAAGCTGCTGTAAAGCCGCGTCTTTTTGCGGGGTGTCAGAGGGTTCTCTAAGTAGGAGTCTTGGACATGCAGGAGGTTACTGGTTAGAGCAGGTGCTACCTGTTCTGAGGAATCTAGGCAGGAGCTCACAGATGGAGGGCGCCTTAGGGACACAAGTGCAGCATGCAAAAAACCAGTTTTTCCTTTGTTTTGCCGTGCTTACTTGTATGATACAGGTTCAGATTAACTTTAGTTTTATTAGCTGTGATTGCTGAGGAGTGGGGAGGAAGCCTTTCAAGATGGATATTTCAGCCTTGCATTTAATTATTTGTCCTGTATTTCGGGTACTTAACAATAGAAGAACTCTTACGTAATTTTGTCATGAATATGTATTTAGAAATAACACTGTTGCTGAGAGTAATCAATGACATTTAGCTTTTTCATTATGCTGCTTAATGTTACTGTAGTCCAGTAGACCTTATCTGGTAATCAATGTCACATTGAGGTCAGTTGATGAGCTGACTAATTTCATTATTCATAGTTGTTGGATTTCTGTCAAGGGAAATCCTGGACTTTTGTGTTTTAGGTGAAAAAGAAAGTATCATTCTCTATTTTTGCAGCATCCTGATGTTTATTCAGATGAAGATTATCTACAGCCATTGTCCTTAATAACATCCCCTGTTCTTGGCAGTCTGGCTATCATGATGGAGAAGTTACATGAGTTCATTTTCTGGTGGTATGAGAATCCACTGACTGCCTTGTTGGAAGTGAAATGGCCTGGGATGTGGTACAGAGAGCAGAGACATAGCTTCAGTAAAGCTCATGCAGTCAAATTTCTTCTTGTTGTTTTATGTTTCATGCTGTCAGGTTGTGGGTCAACTCTGATTGTGAAATCTTTTTGTATAGTATATATGTATTGGAATAGAGAGGTATACTGGGCTAAAAATTGCTTTAAAGCAGTAGATTAGTCTGCATGGGACGCCATTTCTACATTTGCTTTATAATAAGGCATAACAAAATAACACAGATATTGTTACTTGGGATTAAATTCTGGAGTTGGGTCGTTTTTTGTGCTCTCAGGAAAAATCTCGTAGGTAAGTTTTGAGTTGTACATGTGCAGTATTAGAATGGAAACTGGGTTTTGCACTGCAAGTTCATGGATGGAGCAAGTGTCTGATTTTGAAAGCTTAAAATTGAAAGATGTTTCTGCTCTCAGAGTACAACAGGGGGTTGAAGAGTGACAGTTTTGGGTCACTACAGATGGGTTGCTCATCCAAGATATTTTGTCAATAGTGAAGAATTATTGAGACCCAGGAAATGATTACAAAAGACAAAGAGGAAAACTATAAGCAGCAAAGCAATTGTCACATGGATGCATCTTTCTAGTTTCAGTCCCTGTGCACCTAGAAGGGACGAATGTATTCTATTTAGTAGCTGTTAATGGATTTTTTGCCATCAGTTGTTGTAATTGCTGTTGAATGTAGTTTTGCCTTTTTGCCATCACAATGGCAGCTGGGTGTTATACATGGTACAATGCATCATTAAGCTGAAGATAACCAGGGAATTGCTATAAAACATTGCCTAATGTAAGGGAGAAGAAGAAAGTGAAAACTTAAAATGTACTTGTTTTCCATATGCGAAATCTGTTCTGTAGTAGGTCCTTTTGTTGGGATGATGAAACTACTTATGACAAAATCCTACTTTCAAGTTTTCTCGCATGTCATCTTGAAATGGGCTGGTAAAATTTTAAAGGTCCGTTTAAAGTGTGGATGTACTGAATTGGACATGAAATGGCAATATCAAAAAAGACAGTAACACCACACTGCACCAATATACACAGGGGACTAGCTAGCTGGAAAATAGCTTTGCAGAAAAGGTGAGAAGTGGCTACCCCTCGAGCACTGTGTTCAGTTCTGGGCTCTGTGTGTACAAGGAGGACCTGTACATACTGGACTGAGTCCAGCAAAGGGCCATGAAGACCATTAAGGAATTGGAGCATCCCTTACATGAGGAGAGGTAGAAAGAGCTGAATATGTTTAGTCGTAAGAAGTCTCAGGTATTAGTGTTGTGTACAAATACTGAAAGGGTGGAATAAAGAATATGGAACCAGATTCTTCTTAGTGGTGTTAAATTAAAAGACAAGAGGCCACAGGTATAAAACATACAAAATTCCAGCTGAACACAAGGAAAAGCCTTCTTACTGTGAGAATGACAATAACACTGGAACGGGTTGCTGAGAGGGGTCATGGCCTCTCAGTCCAGCTTTTTGGGTAGGATTTTTGAACTAGATGATCTATAGAAGTCTCAAAATGAGCCATTCTGTCATTCTTTGGTTAGGCTGGTTTTGGATTTTATTCTCTACTAATTTCTGGAAAGCGTTGTAGGAAGGGAGCATATCTTCTATGACATGAGCTAATACAGTTGAAATAAACAATGAGTTTTGGGCATGCAGATGGTTTTGCCTGGAAATTGGTTGCACTACTTGAGTCGATAAGCCTGAAACCATGTACTCCTGTTTAGGAAGAAATTAAACATTTTGTAAATCTGTGTCCTCTTGAAAATAATACTATGCAGTAGGTGAATGTATTAAATGATCAGAGAAGACAGAAAATATAAACTTGGTAGTCTGGTTTAAAGCTTCTAGTGCTATGAGGAAAGCCTCAGATTTCCATAACGGACCATTCATTTTTTGTTTGTTTGTGGTTTTTTTGGTTTTTTTTTTTTTTTTTTTTTTTTGTTTTGGTTTTTTTTTTTTTGGTTTTTTTTTTTTTTTTTTTTTTTTTTTTTTTTTTTGTTTTTTTTTTTTTTGTTTTTTTTTTTTTTTTTTTGGTTGTTGTTCTGTTTAATGCAGGCATTTTAAGAGCTGCAGGGAGTGTCCTCTGTGTAACTTGCGCTTCGTGTGCAGATGACTGAATCATCTTGTCTGGATATATGTAATGCTGACATGAATAGATTGTTGTCTGCACTTTCTACTGTCATCTGTCTTTAGGTGAAAGAATAGGTTATTTGAATTGCTTTAAAAATGAAGGCATCCATCCTGAAGCTTTGTCTTATAGATGAGAGACAGTATATAAATAGAACATCTATTAATAGAATATTCTCAGTGGAAAGGGACTCACAAAAGTCATCGAGTCAAATGCTTGATTTCACACAGGGCAACCTAAAAATTAAATAAGATATCTAAACACATCATTAAAACAGTTCTTGAATACTGAAAAGCTTGGGGTCATGACCACTTTCCTATAAAGCTTTTTCCAGTACTTGACCACCCTTTAATTGAGGTTTTTCCTGATACTCTCCAATCTGACCTCTCTGTGACCAAGCTTTAAGCTTTCCTTCACTTCCTATCACTGGATACTGGGGAGAAGAAATTAGCAACTGCCTCTCCACTTGCTCTCATGAAAAAACTGTAGGCTGCAATAAGGTGATCCCCTCAGTCTCCTCCAAGCTCAACAAAGCTAGTATTTTCAGCTGCTCATGTAATTTTTTTTTTGTCCTCCTTTGGACAAAATGATTACATTTTTTGTCATGTAATCATTTTTTGTCCTCCTTTGGACACTAATATTTTTATATCCTTTTTTTCATTGTGGAGCCAAACACACAGTACTGAAGAAACTGTTTTTGCACACAGTGCAAGACACTATTTTTGGCTGAATTTATGGGTATCTCCTTAAAAGCAGTCAGTTAAAAGATGTCTGAAGTCCATTTAGAAAGAATGGTAATAATCAGTATTGTTTGTTTCATTCCAGTTTTATACTGATAGGAAACTTCAGAAGGAAATCAGTTCTTCCTGTCTAGGAAGTAAAGCTGAATTAATTTAAGAAGAAAGAAGTACTAAGTCTGATGCCTAAAGGGCTGTTCTGTGGACTGTTATATTTTTTTCTGATTAACTTTGTCAATATATATTTTCTCTCTTGTTTTTAATTATCAACTTCATATTAGTTAAAGTACATTATGTAATGGTTCTTAAAAATCTAATTGAATATAGCTTCCTGAAACTGTGAAACTGTTCTAAAATATGTCACTTAGGCATAATGTCTTTAAGTGGCACCTGCAAATGTCATCCTTAATGGATTCATAAAAAAGTACCTAAGGTATTGGTGGCACTGTTCCCAAGCACAAGGTCTGTTTTTGAAGATGAGCTTGTACTTATTGAAAGAAGTACTTACTAATTTGCTTCATATTTTTTAATGTGTTCTTATCAAATTATTTTTCTGAAAGATTGTTCACAAGGACTACCTCTCTTTGCCAGGGCATTCTGGCTCTGTCAACAGTTAATGCTCAAGGGATTTAATGCTATGGTAGAACAGGCATGAAACCGTTTTGTTTTCATATGCTTTATTCTAATTCAAAGTTCCTAGGGGTGTTAAAATCATAGAATCATAGATTGTCTTGGGCTAGAAGGGACCTTACAAGTCATCTAGTTTCAACCCCCTGTGATGGGCAACGACATGTTCCACTAGACCTGCTTATTCAGAGCCCCATCCAGTGTGGCCTTAAACACTTCCAGGGATGGGACCTCTGCTTTGGGCAACCTGTTCCAGTGTCTTACCATTGTCACAGTAAAGATTTTCTTCTTTATATCTAACCTAAATCTCTCCTCTTCCAGCTTGAAGCCAGACCCCCCTTGTCCTGTCCCTACATGCCTTTGTAAAAAATCTCTGCCCATTTTCTTGTGGGCTCCCTTCAGGTACTGGAGAGTCACAGTTAGGTCAACTTGGAGCCCCTTCTCCAAGTAGAACAAATCCAATTCTCTTAGCCTTTCCTCACAGGAGATATGCTCCATCCTTCCAGCCATCTTGGTGTCCTCCTCCACACTTGCTTCAATTCAACAAGTTGATGACCTTCATGTCCTGGGGGAACCCCATAGCTGGATGCAGCATTCCAGGTGTGGAGTACTCAGAGTAGAGGGGATGAATCAGCTCATTTGACTTGCTGGCCACACTTTTTCTGATATGGCCCAGGTTGCAGTTGGTCTTCTGGGCTGTGAGCACATGTTTTCAGGTCATGTCTGTTTCTCATTCACCAAGTCTTCTCAGCAGGGCTGTTCATCCCCCGGCCTTTATTGATACTCAGGGTTGCCCTGACCCAGGTGCAGCACTTTGCCCTTGGTCTTGTTTAACTTCATGAGATTCCTGTGGGCCCACTTCTTGAGCTTGTTCAAGTCCTTCAGGATGGCATTCCATTCTCAAGCTGTGTCAATTGCACCACTCAGCTTGACAGCATCTGCAAATTTGCTGAGGGTACAATGTATCTCTTTGAGTATATAATTAATGAAGATACTAAACAACAGTGGTTGCAATACAGACCCCTGAGGGACATCACTTGTCACTGATGTCCATCAGGACACTGAGCCATTGACCACTAGTCTCTGGATGTTACTTTCCAGCCAGTTTTTTATTTGCATAATAGTACACCCATCTCTCTGATTGAGAGAGCAGGATGTTGGGAGAGACCATATCAAAGTCTTTACATGAGTCCCGATAAATAATATCTGCAGCCCTTCCCTTGTCCACTAACGCAGTCACTCCATCAAAGAAAGCCACTATGTTGGTCAGGTGGGACTTGTCTTTGTCAAGCTCTGCTGGCTGTCCCAAATCACCTCCCTGTCCTCTATGTGCCTTAGTGTAACTTCTAGGAGGATCTGTTCCATGATGTTCTCAGGCACAGAGGTGAGACAATACAGAAGTTTTTTCTAAATGTATTATGATATTCTGTGTTTATTTTATAGAAATACAGGCTGGACTTTACCTTTGGGACATCCCTTTTACTATGAATTTTTGTGTATGTATATGTAAGCATGTCAGAGACAATTTCAGCCAGTGTTAGCTACTTATTATTACACTTCTACATTTATTTTGCAGTTTCTTGTCTTGGCAGACAGAAATCAGTTTTAGTAGAATTTACCAGTCTGGAATTTTCTTCATTATGTAGAAGCTGACAGCAAGAATAGGAATCTTATTGATGTAAAAAGTTCTAATGAATTATTCATATTTTGGAGGTGCTTTTAAATATCTGAATCCCAGTTTCTAATTTTTTCCTACAGACTTCTTTTCCTGCAAACCTGTTTATTTATTAAACTATAGCTATCCATCAGATTTTAAATTTTAGGGTATACAAAAGAAATCTTAAAACAGCTAATAAAATGGGTTGTTTCAAATAAGGTTTGCGTGTGATTGTAGGATTGCATTCTGTTTTCAGATCAAAATGTGTGAAATTTAAGTAGTCTATGCTGAATCACTGCCGTCAACATTACAGTGCATAGTTTACAATTGTACTGCTTTTTATTAGTGATAGGAAAAAAACTGACTTAACACTGGGAAAACTGGAAATAAGAGTAGCTGTAGAAAAATAAAATGGCAGCTTTACATTTGCAATTCTTTGCACAGGATACATATGCTGAGAAAAATAGAATGTTTCTAGGGAAGCTGCTTTCAGTCCAGAATCTTTCATATGTATAAGCCTAATGTTGGTACCTAGTAGGGTCTGCAGTCCTAATGATAGAATAGTTCAACTGGGAGGGACCTACAATGGTCATTGAATCCTGACCTGACCACTTCAGTGCTGACCAAAAGTTGAAGCATATTGAGAGTGTTGTCCAGTTGCCTCTTGGACACTGGCAGACATGGGATATTAACCACCCTTCTGGAAAGTCTGTTAAAAGTTTTGACCATGCTCTTTGCAAAGAAATGTCTCCTCATGTCGAGTCTGAACACCTCCCCACTCCTCTTCCTTATCCCCCGGGGCGGGGGAGGGTCACAGCTTTGAGTTATTCCCACATGTGCTGGCGCTGGGTACCAGGAAGAAAAGATCAGCACCTGTGTCTCTACTTCTTTTTTGCCTGAGCTAATTTAGCTTTTTCACTGATTCTTAATTCAGTTTTGAGCTGTTTGAAGGCCAGACTTCTGTCTGGTTTTTTCATTTTGTTGTCTCAAAATCAGATTAGTATTTCAGCTTTAAAAAACCCCAAACTATTTGTATTTGCCATTTGTATCTAGTTTATTTATAACATTTAATACTGTATAGAATGGCATATAATAATATATAATATACTATATTAATAACATAGACTATCTTGTAATGTAACATTGTAATGTTAATACATTACAGTAAATATAGATAATATTAAATTGTATATATTATATAAATAATATATAATATAGTTTTTACAAAGACAAAAATCCCCAAAGTAATTTCAACTGCTCTTTAAAAACTAAAGTATGAATTAGGAAATGTGGTTAAAACATCCTGAAATGTAATTTTAAAGTCTTAATTTTTATTAAGGTTAAAGCTTCACTTCCACAGAGTCGTATGTTATAGTTTTTCCTTTGGCTGCCAACTTCACATTGCAGCTATGGCCATTCCTAGAGGTTTTGAGAAAACCTTTTTTCATTTAAAAACAAATTAAATTAGTTGGGGGAAAAAGCATGTTAGTGCCTTGAAATGTTCTGGTTTATTCTTCTCTTCAAAATGTTAATTTCCACAGTCTTTATTGAAAAAAATAGTAGGTAGGTCAAGAACCTAGATTGCATTAGCCTTTTGGGGATTCTTGTGGCCTAAGTCATGGCCTAAGTGTTTGATTATCTCTTTTAATTGTTATGAACCAAGAATAAATTGCACTCTGTCCTGCCATGTGAGGTAACCTACCCAACCAGTAAAATGAGATCCATGAGATTTCCATGAGATTTTATTAACTATTTTTTTTATGTTACTGTGTAAAATTTAACCAATATGCTACAGCCAATTAAACTATCCCTGATATTCACCTAATAATTTCTGTTGTAGGCAGACCCTACTGGCACAATGTTGCAGGAAACTGAGTAACATAGGATTTATCTTTCTTTTATCTAGAGACATGGAAATTACAGAAGACTGCTGAAGTAGAAGCATGGTTCATGTTGATGGCCTCAAAAAAATAGTTTTGCACGGCTGTCCTGTGCCATTTAATATGTCTGTCTCTAGAACAGTATAGTCAGAATTGATGCAAATATTTTCTACTGCTACTTTTCATTTATATTCAAAGTTTTGTATAATATTCAAATCTCAGATATAGACATTGTATTTTAAGGACCCATTTTTTCAGTTTCTTGTATTTATGTAAACATGCTAGGAAAAACTTCAGATGTTAAACACTGATTATCACACTTGCATGTCTTGTACTGCTTTGAAAGTTTTCTTTCATCTTTTATTTTTATATTCTTAATTCTGGGTCATCACAGTCCTGTAAAGATGACAAGAAAGCTTCTACAAAGCACTGTATGATTCACTTCTAGTTTCTAGACACTTGTTTCCAGTTGTTCTGTCAAGTGTGGGATTGAAGGAACTTCTGGACCTTTGTATGTATGGTAATTTGGTTGAAAATAAGTATGCACTGTTTAAGTTTTATGAGTTTGTATTTATGTTTTAGGTACATTGAATTTCAGCCCTGGTGCTGCTGATTCCATTCCTGGAGAAGGACAACTGACAGATGTAAACTGGGTAAATAAAGATAGGAAAGACTGTAACAGTAATCAGAATAGAAGTAATATAACAAGTCCTAGTCTGTATTCTGAAAGAGGTACAGATTATGAAAGCTCTTCCACAAAGCATCATGGCTTTTATAATCTGGAAAGTCAGTATGGGAATTCTGAAGACTTCCACCAATATTTTGGAACCAGTAAAAGTTTGAAGAATCGCAGCTTGCAAAGCCAGAGATTGCACAGATTAAGAAATGATAGCACATGTGCTTCTAGAAATAAGACAAGGCCAAGTACTACTGATACTGCCGCAGGTCCAGGAATTTCAGATACTGCACTAGTACCTGGTAGAAGAGCACCTCCTAGAGGATACAGTGATTTTCTCTCATCAGAGAGTGACAGGGAAGTACCTAATGCAGATAGCAGAGGAGCAAAGCCGAAGAAAACACATCTGATACATATATCTGGGAGAGGTTTCAGGGAAAAGGGAAAGCAGGTACATGACCGTGAAAAGCGAGTGAGCTCTAAACAGAAAGTAGAGCTGTTTGAAAATTTTCCGTCTTTGGATTTGATGCAGTCTGACTCTTCAGAATCATCTGGTGGAAAGACATTCTGTGATGCACCTTTTGGAAGTGGAGATGAGCAAAAAAGCTACAATAATGTAAACAAAAGATATCCCCGGAAGCCTGTGTGGAATAAACCCCCAGTAGATAAGGAGTGTCAGAGAAGACATGATTCTCACCGCAATAAAAATACAAAAGTAGGTAAGAAGTCTTCTGTTGCATATACTCCAAAAGATAAAAATGAAAGGAAGAAAGAACTCATTGCTCACAAAAATGATGAAAACTTGACCAGTGAACTCAGACATCAGTTGTCTCAGTCTCTCAGTGGAAGAAAGTTCTTGCTAAAGGGGGATCAAGTACCTTCACTTCATTTCAGCTGGACCCAGTACTGGAAGAAGCAAAGTGATGTAGCAAAAAACAAAGAAACTCATACAGGTAAGTTTTTGAGACTGTCCTGGACTCCCATATGAAAGATATGAGATCTTGAATAATTTAAGCAGTCTTTGCTTCAGCTCCTGCCTTGAGCAGCTGAAGAAGCTTATTATTTCACATTAAATTGTTATTGGGATCAGAGAGTAGAAGTAAATGTAGACGCCTGGTATTTCAGTGGGAACATATTCTGTAAGTTTACTAGAGAACAACAGATTTTGTTTAAAGTTTTTTCTGTTTTTGCTACCAAACTGCAAACAATGACCTAGTCAGGTACCATTTTAAAATGTGTATATTGGAGTAAAATTCTGAGCATTCTAAATAATGGGACTTGAGAAGGACAATACTGAAACTGAGTTTTGCAGAATAGGTCTTTTCATGTTTTATGTAGAAGTAGGAAAATGCCAGACAGAGAAACGGTATTCTACTCATAACTGAATTTTATGTGTTTTTTTATGCACCTTTGCTGCCTTAAAGAACCTATAAATGAAACAACACATACTTCTGAGATAATATTAGTATAGGAGGTAATGTAAAACCTGGTCTTTATTGGAGGCCTCCATGGGCAAATATGGAAAATGTCCACAAACCTCTTCCCCTGGGTGCATAGAGTATTATAAGTAAATTAGCATAATTGACAAAAATCACCAATTAGGAGCATAAGTGGTGAGGCTGTTCCCCCCACAGTTCAAGATTGAACCTTGTTGATGAAAATGTGTCTCAAAGAGCTGTTTTTCAAGCTTGATTTCTAAGGAAAACCAAGATAGCATAGGGGTCTTGGAATGTGTTTTGTCTTTCTGGCTATCAGGGCAGGGGGAAGTACTGGGGAAAACTAGCTATGAATGCAATAATAGGCTACAGAGCTCCAAATATGTGTGTGAAGAATACAGGGAATAGAAGAAAAAAGACAAAAAGTGTTAGGCATCACCTCAAAAGGTAATTAGAAATAGAGGCAATATCTAGATACTATTTTTGGAAATTTGAGAATAGAAGCATGTGCTGTTTACAGTGTAAACCAGACACACAGTTTTTGGCTATCTGAGTGAATATTATGCTGACTCATACCATTAGTGACTGAAAACATTGAATGCAAATCAGCTTAATCTCTTCAGGGCTACGATACTGGTTTCTGTTTCAACAACAGTTTAGGTAGATTATTCTTACTGTTTTGCATAAGCTTAAGCACTAAGTGTTAAGAGACTTAAATGTTCAGATGCAATAAGGAGAAACACTAAGAATTATATTTATTTGGTATTTTACAAAGCATCTCAACCTTACCTTCTGCTGCACAGAATGATAGGGGTGGGTAGACTAGTTCCAATTATCTTAACTGTGATGTCAAATCTATTGAAGACTTTACTTCTCAGAATCTCCTGTTTCACAATTGAGAAAGTAATAGTGTAATCAGGAAGCATAGGATGCATCTAGTTGGAAGCTTTCTTCTCTTAGGAGGATCAAGATCTTGCTTGATCCTCTCTAACCTAAATAAATTAACTGTCATGCTCCTGGGTTCTATTTGAGTCATAAAATTGAAGGTATCTCAGTGTTTTTCCCAGCATTATTATTAAATGAAAAACATCACATGCAATAAGCAGAAAGATAAGTAATAGTCTTTCCCAGGGAATTTAAGGAACTTCCCCCTCCAAAACAGTAGTTTATTTGCATGCTTTATTTGGGAGCTCTTTTGGAAACACTGTCTGCCAGTGTTTTCAGGGAACTAGGATTGTGGGTTTTTAACTATTTCTGGGACAGCTACAGATTCTGAGTGTGGTATAGCTTTAGTCTTCTGGAGAAAAAAAGGATGTTTTACACGAGAATATTCCTTTATAGCAGATAATAATTATGGGATAACAAGTAGAAATTTCTGTTAATCCTAAATGTTGTGGGGCTTGATGCATGAGGGGTAGAAAACAAATTTGAAAATCATATTGAGGAGGACAAGCAATGTCGTGGGCTTGCTTGCAGTCAGATGTGGTAGAAGCACATTTTGAATTGACAGTAATTTCTTTCTATTATTTTCCTTTCTTATTTCCTTCATTGTGGATTTGAACTTTCCTTGTTGTTGTTGTGATCTGGTCTAATCTCAAAGGAGCAAAGGGAACTCTCTGAATAAAGCTGAATGTACTTGAGTTTGAATGTTCACAAAAATGAGATTAAAACACAAACAAGGTTAGATGTTAATACAAAAAAAATGTATTTTATTTAATAGTAAAAGAGGCAAAGAGAAAGAAATAAATAGAAAAAGGGGGCTGGTAGGAGATGGGATGGGGAGAGTGACAGAGACAGATTAAATAGAAACATATCACCCCTTCATGGGTTCCAGTGATGTCTTGTTGTTCCCCTCCCTCTTGTCTCCTTGGTGGTGACAGTCCCCTGCTGAAAAGTACAGAATCCAGTGGATCAATCATGGGCCAGGTAGGAATGCCCAGGTGCCTTCCCTAAGGGGGGCAGGTTTGACATTGGTGCCTGTAGGACTGTGGGTCTGTTGCATCATGTGCAGTGTTCTCTGGTGCAGGGTCTGGGGACCCTTGGAGTGGGCCTTTGATGGGCCATGACATCCCATCTGCTGTCCCTCTGGTAGATGTGGCTTTCCCAGGGTGTGGGGCCTGCAGTTAGGCAAGTCTGCACAGCAGCTGGATGGGTGTTCACTGCCTCTGACTGGAGGCTATGCCACACATCCAAAAGAACTTCCTCACTTCCTCCTCGGTTTGGTGTCAGGGTCTATGCAAGTCTGGCAGCAGATAAACCTGGGGCTATAGCCTCACTCTGAAGCTTCTGGACATCCCTGCCATGGATGTATGCTCTTCCAGTCTTATCCATCATTTCCCAGATGCACTACCTCTGCCCCTTAGGCAGTTTAACTCAGAGTTGAGGGCCTCAGCCCAGAGACCTCATTTAGGGTGCAGTGTTCTCCCATGCAGTTTTTGTTACACAATTTGCTGTAATAGGGAAAAAGACCTTCATAAAAATGTTTAAGCCATAAACCATAACATTTCAGTCTCTGATGCTTGTATTGGCACAATGTTAAAATGCTACATTTTTACACTGTATGCTTGTAGTTAATATATTTTAAAATCCTGTGGACATTTCTAAGGTGTATTTGGTAGTTTTACCTCAACGAGAAGTAACCTGACAGAAATGAAGCTTTATGTGGTACCTTTCTTATGGTTGCACATCAGGCTGTGTTGACTCCAATGTGGGGTTCTTGCTTTATTTTCAAAGTACTTTTTCACATTTGTTCATATGGCTTGAAAGACCCTGTTCTTTAACTGTTGTTCCCAGTAATTCCACTGCTAAAGCACTCACTTTATAAAGGGCTTATTCCCGTAATCCAGGTCCTTCGCTATTAATATTTATTGTGTCATCTCCTGGGAATACTTAAGGATAGGAATTAAATGTAATTTTGGCAGAGCTTTCTGTATTTAAGAGCATTCATATTTTTGGTTTAAAGTGTATGCAAAGGTGAATTTCTTATATAAAGTGGTGAGTAAAATCTCAAACTTCTGCGAATCTTAAAAGTATTAATTACTTCATAAGATCAGAATAATTGCTATTTGTCAAAGTGGAATTTGCTTTGCTACTTTAATAAGGATCTTATATTCCTTCTTTCTGCTCTGAAGTGAAAAAAATGCATAGCTGGAATCTTCCATGAGTAAACTAATGTCTTATTTATAGCCACTGAGCTAAAATAGCCACAGAGCTAAAATAAGTTTCACTATAATTTAAATGAAATCTTTGAATTTAATTTGAGTTTTGTTTCTCAGCTAGCACAAGTAATATATTTGACTTGCAGGGTCATTGATTGAACAGCTGACCACAGAGAAGTATGAGTGCATGGTATGCTGTGAGGTGGTCCGAATAGTAGCCGCAGTGTGGAGCTGTCAGAATTGTTACCATGTATTCCACCTGAATTGCATCAAGAAATGGGCGCGGTCACCAGCTTCACAAGCTGAAGGTTGGTATTTTCTCAAATATATATATTTTATACATATTCTATATTATGTATACATATTGTATCTATAATGTATATAGTAGCCCAATTCATGTGTTGCTTATGTAGTGAAAACTATTTAGAAATATTGGTTAAGTTAACAATGTGACCCGCCTCTGAGGCAAGGTAACCAAATTCATTGTTAAAGGGATTCCTGGCGGTGGATTAAAGCAAAATGAGACTAAGTAACTGATACAACAACAAATTTTATTAGAACTCTTTTGAAACCTTTAGTGGAAAAATACTTAATGGGTTCACAAAGGGGTACTGTAGGCATTCTGAAGCATATGATCACCCTAAGAGAGGCAAACAGGAAAGAGAAAAACAGAGGAAAAGTGTAAGAGCCTGAAAGAGAGATGCGGGACTCCAGGCGGCTCTTCCAAATGCAGTTTATTACATCCAAGATGTTACAGCAGTCCAGGGTCGTGGGCGACAGAGCCTGTGCCTACAGCTGTCAGCTGCATCTGCAGGCAGGCCTGGAGACCCCGAGTTTAGGTTACAAATGCATTATATACTTTTCTTTACTGAGCATCTTAATACAATAGAACCAATCTATACCTTAGCTTTTATCTATAGCCTATCACAACTACTATAATTACCATATTCATGTTACTATTCTCCAATCACTAAAAGTTAGTACATTACAGTTTAAGCTAGAAGTTGTTTTTCAGTTTTCTTGCAGTGGAAAATTCTGAGACCTTTTTTCTACTTGCAACATTTGCTGACTTGTTTGCCTGTGCTATCTTTCTGCTCGGTAAAAGCATCTTCTTGTTTGAGGTGGGTTTATCCTTTGCTTTAAGTCATAAAACCCCCCTTCTAACTAACATACCCTTTGCCTCCTTGGTTATCCAGTAAGACTGGCTCAGCAATTCTTTTCTTCTATGTCAAAATTTGCTTCCATCTCTATTCCTTCCTCAGCTTCTACATTCAAAAATCTTTCTGATAAGCATACATATCTATGAGACTTTCTTGTCAAACTTTCATCCTTCCCAACAGAGAGATCTTTCACCACCCATGGCTCCAGTGACATGGCGAGGGATCATGGTCCGTGGCCGTGATACACAGTCCAAGTCCATTGGAGATGGGGGCAGGCATATGTATCAAAAAATGAGGGGTTTCTGATTCTTCTAGTAAACACTCCAGTACCTCCTCCAAGAAGAATTCTGGTTATGCACAGTCTTCTTGTTGGAAGGTTCTGGAAGTCTGGCAGTGTCAAACAGGGGGCTTGGGTGTACATGCCTGGAAAAATTTTCTGAACAAATGTTCCAAGTTCAGGGTTTTGTGGCTGTATGGTAGTGGCTTGTGATGGAGAGAAATTGGCATTAAAAATCCCTCTACCATTTGTCTGTAGTATCCATTCCTTACAGTGGCTTCTCCTTTAGTTCAAAGTTTCTCCTTCAGTTAAACAAACTTAAACAGCTTGTTTAAGGCAGAATTTAGCCGTAAGCGGCAAATGGTTCACTACAAGCGGTAAGCTGTAAACAGGTTTTAAATAAATTTTTTCCAACAGTTCTGTGTATGCCTTATATAATCTTCATAACTCAATTCTTTCCAGTATTCTAGCTAAACCTAATTTCCAGATTTGGATGCATAAGATCATTCCGTGAAATCAGTGCATCAGGATGCAAAACTCTGTGGCCATGTTTTTACACACCAAGAAACATCTCATCTCTTATCTGTTCTTTGCTGAGCAGTCAAGCAGAAGATGCACTTCATGCATTAGTTGTCTGCTTTTACTCAACCACTTTTTAGTTTGTTTCTCAGATAAAATAGTCCTGAAATTCATCCTGTTAATATTTGCCCAATTACCCAATTAAAAAAAAAAACAAACAAAATTAAATGTAACAGCAATTTTAATTAAATAGCTTAATATATATAAAATTGAATACACTCAAAATGTTTACAATATAATTTGGTTAAAATAAGGAATCATTTGGTTTTGATAGTAGCTCATAAGCAAAAATAACTGCACAGAGTACGGAGTACAGGGCTTGACTCCTGTCACCTCATGTACAAGCTTGTCAAGCCAAAATTCCCCCTTTTATGCTGTATATCATTACCATCTCCACCTGTTTTCAATTCGTCACACCTGTATCACCACCCTCATTATCACCTTTACCATGCATGCTCCCCCATTCTTTTAGGGGGCCGCGCCACACTTTGGGGGTCTTCTTTGAGGAAGGCCTCTCTCTTCCTCAGTGTCCTTTAGTTCACCTTTTGGATTACACATACGCACCAAGCTGGTATAGTATAAGCTAATATTATGTTCTAACATTAAAGCAATAAATCTCATATAATTAACGTTTTCCTGGTGTCTAACCAAATTCTCCTCTCTTCCAGCTAAATTTAGTGATAGTTATCTCTTGCTTCTTCCTGTTCTGAACATCTGCAGGACAAGGTGGGGGGATGTCACTATAGGACATGAGACAACACGCCACAGACACGCTGCTGCTCTCAAGGCAGGAAAAAAGGAAGTTTATTTTCTGCCTCCAACATTTATGGATTTCCAAAGGTGACAGTGGATTGGAGGGTGAAAGTGCCACCTCTCCAATGACACTGGACAAACCAACAGTCCATCAAGTTTCTCATCCTCCATAAAATAATGCAAAACAATAAGTTATTTACAGAAAGTGTGTGCAAAAGTTTTCTACAAGAATGCAAACGTCAGAAGGCTTAGAAAATCTTAAAAAATCAGGGCGACGGGGAACCCCTTCTCTCCCTTTCTTGGCATTACGCCTTTAACTGTTTTATTTTCAACTATTAATTACTGTATCAATATTGATTACTGTTTCAATTTTGTCAACACAAATCATACCTATTTACCACAATCCCTCATGCCGTGCAGTGAAAGGGAGTTCAGAGAAAACAGAAAGCTTCAGCCTTTGTCGTCAGCTTAAACTGTTTCAGATTCCTTGTATTTTACCACTTTTTGAAACTCTTAAACCAGTATGTTATGCCCTTTGAATCCTTTACTCTAAGGCTGAATTGCAGCTACTGCTCAGTTCAATTGAGTGGTGTAGACACTCTGAAGATGATAATCCTGAAGTAGGCTTTATTTTTTTTCTGTACCCTGCTTGTTCAGCATTTGCCATTCTTTGTGTGTCTTTCTGTATCTCTCTGGGCAGACCGAGGAAATATGTCATCTAGTCAATGTCATCTAGTTCCAAATTTTTGACAGAAGTTCTTGCAGACTGTAAATCTCCTGCAGAAAGGATTGGTTCCAAATTTCTTTTTACAAAAGATGCATAGTCAGACTTCTGGGAAGGGCTGGTTGTGGGCCCCGGTTCTCACTTGGTGAGTTTATTTCAAAGGGGCTTGAGGTACTATTTTACTGTCTTGATTTGAAAAGACAGGTGTTTTCTAAGGAAGGCAGGAGCCTCTCTTGAAAAGGAAAATACAAACTCCCTCTCTCTGAGTTATACTAATTTTGAAATTCAGAGGCTGTCAGGCAAAGATACGGGAGTAAGAATAACAGTTATTAGAACAATTTTTTTAAAAAAAATCCAGTAATACAAAACAACATTGACAGAGTCAGAACACGATCTGACACCCTGTTGGTCAAGGTGTTCGTAGCAGTCCAATTAAATGGTGGCCGCAGTCCTCCTGGAGTGACAAATGTGGTTCTGTTGAAGCAGTGATCCTGTAGAAGGGTGTAGTTTTCCTCTGAAGGTCCAGTGGTGAGCAGTCAAGCAGTCAAGTGGTGGTATATATAGGCCTGGTCTTCCTCTGGGAATCCAGTGGAAAAAGGCTGGCTGTTGTGTTCCAAATCTCAGATGACATTCAGGTAGGAATGTTTGTCTTCTCCCCCTGGGCAGAGCATCTTGAAATGATGTAATTTTATCAGTCATGCAGTGAGCCTCAATGGCCTATTAACAGAAGATGTTTTCCAGAGGGAGGATTGGTTGTGGAAGAATGAAAACAACTGCCCCACCTGGTTTTCAGTGGTGGCCCAATTAACAGAAGATAACTGCCCCACCTCTAACAGATTGCAATAGAATACACACCCCCAGCCACATCTTGCATTTCCAGCCTAAGACATTTACTTTTGGGCCATTTGCTTTTCATGTGAGAATTCGTGGGCTAAATATGTTACTGTATTCTGCATATGAGAGAACTAGACCTAATCATTTAACTGAAGTTAAAGGTTGTGGGCTCAGTAGAACTGATACCATAGCTCCAGTAAAGACACCAGTACATATTTCTTGACCTGCAGACTCTGCTACCCCATCTTGTTTAGATTTTGTAATCCAGAGTGTATTTGTTTTACTGTAGCTTGTTAACAGTATATGTACTACATTTCAGGCTTTGGATAATGAGGAATTCACTACAAAACTGGCAGTTATTACGGTCTGCTGTAGGAAAAATGGGACATGGTAATCTACCTAACTCCATAATTTACTGGGTTTTGGATGGGAAAAAAAATTAGTTTTTTGGGTTTTTGTTTGTTTTTTTGGTTTTTTTTTTTTGTTTTTTTTTGTTTTGTTTTGTTTTGTTTGTTTTTTAAAGCGTATCACCTATTTCCTTTGATTCTGCAAATGTTATAATGAATTCCAGAAAATCTTACCTAATTCAGCAACCAGAGTTTTCACTGGTATGTTTCACTTGCAGCCTGTTTGGTAATAAGATGAGTTTTGAATATTCATTTTATGTTTTTGCAGCAGTGTGTCTTGGTTTGAAAGGAAGGCAGGAGTCTCCCTTGGTTAGAGGGTATGACCCTCTTTCATCCGAGTTCTTATAACTTTGAAATTAAGGGACTTTCAGGCAAAGGTGTGTGGAAAGAAATAACAGTTCTTGATACTAGTATGTATAACAAAGCAAACAACAACAGCAGCCCAGCAAAAAGCCAGAAACCCAGTGACAGCCTTCTCTTGGCTTCAGGCACTTTCCCCTATGCTGTAGTTACGATCACAGCCGGCAGGGGCACTGTTAGCTCCTAGCCAGGCAGGGCAGGTGCAGTGATTCCC